ACAATCGTCGGTACTGCACCCGAATATGCTACGTCAAAAAAGGAAATTATAAAATTAGCTGCAATCTTGTCTGACAACTTCGATGATGTCACTCAGGTTTAAAATTGTATTCTTTTCCCCAAAAACTCACACTGCGGAGATCCTGAGCATGCTGTTCAAACAATGCCCGAATGTACTCGGCAAGATTGGTCAGTATGAGGAATGCGCATTCATCACTCCTGGAGTCGGTGAGTCTTGCTGAGGCAGTTGATTCCGTCTGAGCGATTCACCCTGACGTTATCCATAATAGGGCAGTTCAAGCCAGGGTCAGGCGCTCAACCTCTTACTGGAGAACCTGGCAAGCTCGAACACGTGGATGAGGATAGGGTGGAAGTTGTGGTTATTGACCAAGGCGATAAAGCACAACTCAAGGATGCGATTGCTCATTTGAAAGCGGCAAGACATGTTTTTTTTTTCGTAAAATCGGATGTGACCGTCCTGACGTTTGGCACCTTCAGGTTCATCCATATGAAGAGGTTGCATATGACGTCTACAGGCTTGAAGACGTTTAGGCTATGCAAGCCTTTACCTGCCTTGGCTGTTTCTCCGACGCGGCTTGTTGTTATCTTTATTTGAAATACAGTTAAGCCAAATGGCGAAATGCGCTTGCACTGACTGCCACTAGTCGGGTGAAAACGTCCTGCTCCTCCTCCACCTCACACTTTGGTTACGCGAAATGAAAAACACGTCTTGGTCAACCAGTGACCCGTCCTGCAACGTGGTGCGGGATTTCCCTGAAATTGATGCACCTATTACTAACCCGTCCCGCAAGTGTCCGAATGCGTGCTTTGTAGCTATGGGCGCGACTCATATTCCAACTTCGGCCGCCTCGCAATATTTGATGTGCATTGCTGCAGACATGTTCATCACCCATCAGTCAAATGACGTTTCTGAGCTGATTGAAAGGGCGCGTGCCTATCTACAAGCGATAAGTCGCATCACCAACCAGATTGCGGTTTTTATTCTCTCCTTTAGAAGATACTCACAAAGTAGCAGACCTGAAGTATCGTCGCAGTACTACTGGAGCTACAGCAACACTGAATATTGAGCGTGTTCGAACGTCCCTTATCGCTGCAAATGCTGCGCATCGGAGTATTGATTCGCTGTGCTTCGCAGTCATTTAGGTGCTTTGCGAGCGCTAAGGTCACAGTCGAAGGTCCCACACAGCATAGTCGACACCTACCAGCCGCGTGGTTGGAGCGCTTGACGCCCTTATGTTGCTCGCCTCACCTATTCCGGCAGCCTGGTCATGGATCAGTGCTGTTGAAGCATGCGGCTGGCCTTATGAGCCTTCACATACTCCCCGAGGGGTGTGTTCGAGGCACGATGCAAGATATAAACTGGAGTTCACCATGGGGTTCACACAGTTGTAGAACGAGCAACTATATAGAAGCTTCATTTCCCTGCTTCTTCGCTCTTCACCTCCTTCCTTTCTCAGAACCCGGCGATGGGTTTAGATTATTCTACCTTTTCCATCAGGTGTGTTGATAAGAGTCACTGTCGGGTAAATGTCTGACGTCATTCTTTGGACTATAGAGATGCACTGGGTCCGAGTCAGGTGGTGTTCCTGCAGCGTTCTTCGACCACGACGAGTATCGTTCCACGAGAACGCGCTCTTGCGGAGCAGGAGGCCTTTCTGCCACACAATCAGACCCATGCAGCGCGAAATCTACATGACGTTGATGACACGAGGTGATTATTCACAATAGCTGGCGTCATCATACAATGTATTAAAATTACAATGGCTCGGCACCGCAGTTATCCAACGTATCACTCCTTTAGTACAAGTCCACAACACGCACATTCCATTTCTCCGCTTCTTTCATTTCCAAATATGTCTGAGACCCTCCCCAGCTTCGCGAACCATAATACGTCATCTGCTCTTGTCTATCAGGAACACTACTTCCCAGATTCGTCCATTCCATGTGTCACAAACCATCAGCTCCTGCCGCATGATTCGACATATCCTTCCTCAGAGATAGCCCTGGCACCTGGGGAACATCATTCGTAAGTCGACCATTACTAAATTTATTCCAGTTCATTACTGATGCTCTATGAAGCAATGTTAATGAGGACCAACCCATCGAGACTGCCAGCTTCTCGAGGACCGCAGGTCAGAATCATCAGTGCGACACACTATCTCTAGACACTACCTTCCACCATCTCTACTTATCCATCAACGATGGGAGTGAAATGACGCATCCTACATCACCACCCTTTTCCCTGGATAGTCTTGATAGCACGCGTCCCCCATGGATCTACCAGCATCCTGAACCACACCATCGTCCTCCTACATATCCTTTTCCCGAAGTGCTTTTCCCTCTTGCCGACTACTCCTCGTCTCCCGGATCTTATTTCCTTACCGCCCAAGAAAAGACAGTCGGCGTATGTCACCCGTCTCACTTGAACGCTCAAGAATACGAGCAGCTTGGCATCTTTTGTGGGTCCGCTGGATTATCTCGGCCATCACATTACATCAAGGAACCCACCCAGCTACCACCTCGCCCTTATTCAGCAGATCCCCCGCGTACCGGAGTTCTGGGGAAACGATTGAGGAGAAGGTCCTCGGATTCTGACCTTGCAGATCGAGACACCACGATAACTGCAGTGCCTCAGGCATGCGGTTCCCGCTCAGAATCTAGCAATAAACGAACAGTCGTAGCACCGCATGGTGCCCAGCCACCTGTGCATCTCCGTGCACCGCACGCTATGGTCACTGCCCCCGTGGAGTCATCTCGTCATCAACAATCAGTGCCACAAAAGGTGGATTGCGATGATTGCCTAGTTGACGAATCGGCCGTGCGGATTGGTGGACGAGCTCTACTGCACGTGTACGAATGCCAATGGGACAAGAATCACTCCCCCTGTGGTATGCATATCGAAGGTGATCAAGCCAGCGTCACAGATCATCTCGCTAGGTTTCATGGTTTCACGGGTGGTGAAGGGGATACGGCTTGTCTCTGGGATGGCTGTACCTCAAAAAAGCGTGCCGCTATGAAAGGTACGAGTATCGCTCGTCACCTCATCACTCATATCGGCTACAAAATAAAATGTACCGCCTGTAACGTCGACTATGCGCGGGAAGACGCGTGCAGGAGAAGTCACGCGAACGCGAGATCAGATTGCCAGAATATGCAGATAGCCCCTGTCCATGGAACCGGAGTTATCACGCTGAAGGTTCAAGCCTGCGAGCCCGCTGCTAAGAAAAGACATCTCGCGGACGCATAGATCCAAAATTCTATCTATCGTAACCTTCTTACCTAATTACTACTTCATAATTTGCTCACCTTTTCTCCTTCTCTCTTTAATCTCCGCGTGGATGCCAGGCTCGTATACCCTATCATAGAGCCAGTCCCATGATTTATTGCTATCTATTGACATACTTGCATACCCCTCTGTAGTTTATTCATATCCGGATTTATATAGTCGCTCGATTCTCAGGTTCAAGTTAAATGTATCTCGCTCTCATTTACTATGTATTACGATATTGTAGTATTATGCTCATGTAGACAGTCGTCAACCTATCCTTATCAAAGTTCTAGTGCATTTCCTTGCTCAGGTCATACTTGTCAATATTTGATAGATCGGAATGACGCCGGCACCCTACGCGACCTCTTTCAGACGTACGTCGCGCTAGCGTCAGCACACCTTACGGTACACTTGCAAGCTTGTTCGGGTGGAATAATGTCCCTGCCTCCCAACGTTAATGCAGGATCATCGATCAGGGCTGTTGTCGAACACTGGTTTCCCGTCTCCTGGTTACATCCGCGTCACTCGAACCTTTTCGGTTACAATCATTTGACATCTTATTCGCTAGATCTTCGAAGGCTTGTCTTTATGTCTGTTCATTCAGTTCTCGCTAGCGGTAGCGCTGGGCCCTTTTCCCAACTTTTCCGTTGTGCATGCCTCAGTGGGCCACTCCTGCATAGCGTTCCGTTATGACCTCTCTGTCGATATCTTTGTCCGGTGTCCTGGTCTTGCAATCGAAACTAGATAACTGGTTTGTTCTGCCTCGGGATCAACCTAAAACAGGAGCGCACGCAAACTGCACACATCAGAACGATATGGCTTGGTCTGCCACTTTCTAGCCTCGCTGAAGCCTCATCGGTGGACGTTCCCTCGGTCGTTGGTTCTACCGATGCTGACCGAGGATGACTTGACAGCTAAAGGTGGGGAGGTTACACCATTTTCCTGTCTGTCAGACTCACCCTGTCCTTATCTTGTGCACATTCTTCTGGCCTCCGAGTCCGATCCCATTAATATTCTCGTTTGGTGGTGAATCCCGACAGTTTTGATCCATCTATCGAGAATCTCTATCACCTTTCTTACCTCGTGCATGATGACACTTGTGCCCTGGAATTTACGCCGGACGACGAACCTGTTGTCTGTGAGCCCCACTCTACGTCGTTTGTGCATTCGGCTCGTTCAACTGCAGTGGTCTGTGGAGTCAATGTCAAGCAAGGTTGACCTCTCCTCGCCGGGATTGCGATGAGTGCATCAAGAAATCGAGAGTGATGGTGATGAATGAGAATAAGTAACTCACGGTGATTAAACAGTGAACAAGCTTGATGGAATCAACACCTACAGCGTACTATGAATGGTGTTCAAGTTCTCGGCATCGCATTCTCGTTGAATCATCTTCTCGGATGCCCGTAAGTTATGGATGATAACTGGAAAACTTTTGGAGGAAAAACTGAAGCCATCACGGGGCAGGAAAGTGAATTCCTTATGACGCGCGCACACGATCACATAAAAAAGAGGTTGTGGCGCAATGACTGGGCCTAGATGGACCTCCGAGGATCTATACACTGCAAAAATACACTCGGTAGGTTTCGAACCAACTCCAAGAGGAACAGATTTCGACTCTGTTGCGGTAACCGCCTGGCTAAGACCAGTTATATGGACATCTGAGGAAACCATCCATGAGTCAATGTCAAGGTGTGTTCCGATAGAAAAAGGCCTGTCATCCGGCAGGTTTCGAACCTGCACGACGAAGAGAAACAGATTGTGATTCTGTTGCAATGACCACTTAGCTGGGACCACTTACGATGAACCTCTGAGGAAACTATCCATGAGTGAATCTCCAAGGCATGTTCCAATAGCACAAAAAAACCTTGTCATTAGCAGGTTTCGAACCTACACTGGAAGAGACAGATGAGGATTCTGTCGTGGTAACCACTTCGGCCAGGATGAAGTTGAGATGCATTTCCGAGGAAGCCATGAATGAATATTCAAGGCAGGTTCCAATAGAAAAAAACCTGTCTATCGGCAAGTTTCGAACCTGCACAGTCCAAGATAAACAGATTTCGATTCTGTCGTGGTGACCACTTAGCTAAGACCAGTTAGATGAACCAGGCTCCGACGAAACCATCTTGTCATTGAAGGTATGTATGTTCAGAGAGAGAAAAACTTGAACGGCAGGTTCCGAACCTGTGCAGTCTAACCGAAACAGATTTCAATTCTGTTGTGGCAACCACTTCGGCTAGTACGCTTCGCTAGCTGAGATGTTGGACCTCTGAAGAACTGTCCATGAGCGAATGTCAAGGTGTGACAAGACATTTGTCACCAGTTAGCAGGTTTTGAATTCTCACCATCCAAGATCTTTAATTTCTGGTGCCGGTTGGCTACAACTACTTTAGGATAGACCTCAACCGAAGGATCCATCCATAAGTGAATGTTCAAGGGGTGGTAAAAGGGGAAAAAAAGACTGTTGAGCAGGTTTGGAGTAACAGATTTCTGTTCTGTCACGTGAACCACTTGGCGAAGACTGATCAAGATGGATGTCCGCAGTACGAGTCGAAAAACATCATGCATTGACGATAGGATCATATAGGATCAGCAGTCATTTGCCAACGAATGTACTCTTGCAGGTGACAAGGTGTCAGGTGATTGTGGAGAAGAGGTAAATACGATCACAGCATAGACATACTACTGGCCGTTCGGTCAGTTCCACTCAGCCTGAGCATATAGGCCCAGTGCTGCGTCAGACAGCGTCGGGCTGTACAGCGAAACATCAGCGGTGGTGTAGTTCTCCGCATTCTGCAAGCCGTTGAGAATGCCAAGAAGTTGCGTTTCAATGAAGTCGACGAATACAAGATCAATGGGCGTGTCGTCCGTCACGTTAGGCGGGTTCGAGCCAATAAAGTCTGGAACCGAATAATAGGGCAATGCCATGTGTAGCGTGTCGTCCCCAGCACCAGGGCATGACTAAGTCACCACTATGAGCGCGTCGGAGGGAATGTGAGGGTGGGTCACTTACATCGGCCGTGACATATCCAAGCGTCAAATTTCCTGCTGTTGCTTCTCGTCTACCCATTCCAGCACGCCGATCCATCTCCTCTAACCAGGCTCTGTACCGAGTATCAACAGCTCCACGGTTCCAAAGTTCCTTTTCGATCTCATCTCGCTTCCGTTTCTCACTCGCACCAGCATTGTTCAAAGCTGGGAGGACCTGGTTTGCGATGCTAAATGAGATGTTGGGGATATATAAGAATGAATCCGTGAACGGCGAGGCGGTGAGCTGATCGTTCTTGGTGAATGGCCCCTGGAAAACGTTGAAGCGTTGAGATCCTGAGTTGGTGATAAATATGGCTGGGATGGAATCACGCGTATTGTTAATGGAGAGAGCGTATGGGACAGCCTGACAAGGGCGTTAATAATTGACGTTTCTGGGAAATCAGGTCTTACATCTGCAATGAAAAGAGATAGAAGGGATCCGTTAGAGGGATATGGGTTCCTAGCACACAATTGAGCTGGTGGCTTATGCGATATATACGGAGTACACACTGGTTGATGGTATAATCTTGTGGGGCTGTTCCGTACAGATAGGATAAATCAAAGCTGACCGCGAGCTCCTGCAGGCCGTCAGTGATCGAGCGCCCATAGACGGTGTCAAACGTTTGGTTTGACATTTGGGTGTGGTACTAATTGTGACGCGCGGATTAGGACATCATTGAGAAACGATAGCATACTTTACCTCGTAAGTCACACGGTTCTGGTCCAAATATCTCCTTGTGAAAGAAATGTTGTTGGCGTTGCCCTGGGCAACCTCGAGGTCCGCACCTGAGTTTCTGGGTCAGATCGTTGAAATTTGTTTTCGTTAAACAATGTACTCATCCAGCCTAAAAGAACATGTAAGACACGGCAGCCGACTCATCCTCGACGCTCACATACCGATTGTCTCCATGTAGCGTCCGCTTTCGAGAGCCATGGAACGCCCATCGTACTGTTGACAGTCACGGATGTGGCTATGTCCTAAGTCGGCGCGGTGAGAAAGTTAGTTGAACACATCAAATGGGTGGCATCCACCTCCAAATATTAAGATGGGCGTCAGAGGGTGCACAGCTCGAACAGCGTCAAAGACAGTAGGCCCTAGAAAACCAATTCATCGTATCATCAAACCTTGAAATTGCTGTGGTTGGCCTACAGTTATCGTAAGAAACTGGCATGTGTCTGAGATCACGTTAAAAACATTTTCTCAGAAACTATGGGAGCCACCTACCCAATAAGTACAAACACGTCAGGTTCTTCCGCGATGGCCTCGGCGAACTGTAAAAATCAATCAGAATACTGCTTCGGATCACCTGGACGCCTAGGATAACGTACCCACTGTTCCTTGACCATATCAGCCACAGTTTGTACAGTCGTGTTCATGTCATTCCCAGTGAAATCATATAGGACCCCAAGAGAAGTGATGCGACGGCCTCTGTTACATCGAATGAATAAAGTTCCACCTTTGAATCATAGGATCTCTTACTTCCTTGTGGTGAACTTGGTGTAGCGATCTGTGGAAAGGGCATCAACAGTAGTCAAACTAAAATTAAATTTCAAACTTACTGCCAACTGGCACACTCTCAGGTTCGCCATCCGAGTTAAAAATAGTGATGTTGACATTGGAAGACAAGTACCGCCCATCAAGATAAGGGACGAAGTTCGTGTACCTGAGGGGAGAAGGTAGTGATCAAACAAAACATGGATGTTGCAGAGAAGGAAACAAATGCAAAAAAGATATTGTCATTCAACCCGAATTTTGCTCAGAATACTCAGGACCCACATGTCATATGTATCCGCATAGATGTACAATTCATGGCTATGGAAGTAAAATTGTCAGTTAAAAACCCAGTATTAACAGGAGGCAGATAAGGACAGGCCCGAAAACTCAATACTCACTTTCCAATAGTCATGACATCGTATGGAAGGCGCTCAAGAAACTTGTTTGACTTTTAAAGACGCGTGGAAGGTATCAATTTCGAGGTATGTATCAACAACAAAACAGCAGACCTCATGCGCGTCAACGCCACCGGGGGGATAACCATCAGAAAGCCCAGTTCCTGAGAGGTGGGTTGGATTGTGTCTTTGAAAGATGCCAATTTGATACATACCATCATGTACATCCCCCGAGTCTACCAAAAGTAGGTCGACGTCCTTTTCCTGAAATAGTAAATATGTACAATGAGTCGGGATCCAAACTGATGCATGATGGACGAACGATGGCGATTTCCTTCATATGCGTCACGAAACTAGCAAAATCTCCAAGGTCCCCGCTATAATATGCGCAGGTTGATGCGGTTGAGCCATGGCGCCATAAATTAGTTCCTCTGAACACTTACCTATAGTCTGGTTCAGGGAATGACAGCTTTTGGTGACCGAGTAACCAGCCATGGGTGTCAGTGGTGTGGATAACATTGAAATCTCCCCAGACAAGAGGACGGTAGGGAGGTGTAATTGGAACCTGTGGGTACTCACGCTTGTCCAAATGTTCATGAGCATAGGCATCACGAGTATGCAGGTGATCACCCGCGCAAGCAGCACTACGGAGTGCAAGACCCAAAAGAATAGCGGCAGGTAAAATCATAATCATACTGGAAGGGGCGGCGCCTGCCTATCTAAAAAGCCGGTTGAATCCAAGAGCGCTTTTTTAAGAGAGGCTCAGAGGCGCTTCAAGTTATTAGCGAGTCAAATCCAGACAAGCTGAGTTTATCGAGCCTCCTCCACCGATCAAAGGCCGTTCCTATCTCATAGGTGCCAAGCGGGCCATCTGACTATGACTGCCATATGCTGATCTGACAAGAGATAAAGTGACCGAACTGCATCATATGGATGGCACATCTCTGGTTTTGCACACGTATAGGCTATAGCCATTGATTGAGTTCGGAGTTTCAATTCCCACACGCGCAAGCGACCATCATTCGTCCATGCGGGACCGGTGGCCTGGTCGAGAACACACGGTGCCCACTGACTTAAGTATTATCTTGATACAATCGCGCTCAGGTCCACTGGCAATAATAGATGTTGAACTTCCTTCAAGTCGGAGGGTACTTGAAGGGGCAACGCGTTATACGCTGGTTTCCATAGTGCTATCCACACTCTCACTAGGAAGAACATGCCTGAGCTTGCGTACTTTCTCATGGGAAGGTACCTTCGGGTCTGAGTCCTTTCGCGGGAGCCGCAGTTCCACGGCTACCATGTGTATTGAGCCCCGGATCAGTCAAATAGCCAGACGGAAATAGTTAAATCGATCATGAGGCCCAGGATTCAGCAAGAGCGCTGCCCGGTGCCGCAACCATTGAACGTTCGAACGTTCGAACACTTATTGCGGTTGACAGAAAGTTGAGTGGTCAATACTTTAATTACTGTGTCGTGCAAGCTGCAGCAGCTTACTAGTAAAGTTCGAACCAAGCCCGTTGGTTTCGTGGGTATTGGACTATCATGAAACTTCTCCGTCCACTGCCCAGTCATATTCCACGTAGGAATGTAATGAATACATCTATGTAGCAGTACGTCTAAATTTGGCACTTCTCATCTGGTAAGTGATGTAAGGACCCTGTGTTTTCTATGCCCCGACCAGCGCTTCAAAGGACGCAGTCCGCATGTCCCATCGATGCGAAGAGCTTTACTCTTCGCATCCAAGATATCCATCCTTTATTTCCTTTTACAGTACTCTACTCTTGTACTCTACTAGTACCGTGTGTTATTAGTAATGCTGTACACCTCCAGGCTCGAGCGTCTATCACTGCACAGCCCAGCGTTTGCACGTGTTCGAC